GTCAATCAGAAAACGAGTTTAGGACGACGAGTCTTTTTTTAAATGTATCCGATTGAAATCTGAGGTCGAGTACGTAATAAGGGAGAAGAGGAGGGGTTGATTTAAAGGTGTACTTCTTTTTTGAATCTTAGGAATTTAGGTTTTGGGATATTGGGGTTGGATTAATTTTAGATTTGAGTTTATAACTGCTTTAATTATGGGATTAGGGAGTAAAGGTGGGGGAGATGGTGGTGGACGACGGTGGCGGAGGTGTTGGTGGTGCTGATTGCGAAAGTGGAGGGAAATCCTTGGGTTCGGTTTCATGCTCGATTTGCCTTGAATCGGTTACTGATAATGGTGATCGATCGTGGCTAAGCTTCATGTGGGCATCAATTTCATTTGGGTAAGTCAAATTGTCATGATTTGAAACTGATTTTATCAAGGAATTTTCATTCTCCAAAAAAAAAATGGGATTGGAAGATCTGAGCTCGAAGTTTTGCGCATTTGATTTATTGGGTGTGTTTAGTTTAGTTTTGATTGATGGTGAAGTGAAGAATCGTAAAGATAGAAGCAAAAGTTTATACGAGCTGGGATGGCTCAGTCAGTTTTATCTTATATTTTGATGAGCTGCAGCCTATGTTGCTCGGACTCTTCATTTTTCATGTACTGCATGTTCCGACACTCGGACATGGGGATTGACCTCCGAGGATCCTCCAATATATAGAAAACTTAGAGAAATCTATCCATACCTGTCTCGGATACATACCTTTGTCCTGACACTTGCACCTGAGCCCGAGTAACATAGGCTGCAGCATGGGGTAAATGGCTACTGGCATACATTTGTGGAATTTGAAGGGTTTGAGCATAGGTCGTATATTATATTTGTTGATGTGGTCGTTAACGGTGTGAGGTGATGATTGTTTTAAATCTGTTTTAAGGGTTCTAATCAATTATAATATGTTTGCAATGATTTTCACCAGATTGCATTGGTTCAGCATTCAACATAAAGGTGCAATGCAATGCCCTAATTGTAGGAAATCGAAAAAGGTCAATGGCTTTATGCCAACAGTAGCTGTTCATATCCGGAATTTAATATGGATGATCTGACACATGATGAGGACCTTATGGTCTAAGTTACTCTGAAATGGTAACGGTTTATATATTTCTTTTCTGCATCTGATAGGCTATCATATTGCTCATCACTTACCCTCCACGTCATGCCAATTTAATGGCCAGCGATTTTGTTGGTTATCTAGCAAGTGAAACTTTATTTTTAACCCTCATAGTTAATGAACCAAATCTCTTTTGCTAAAGCTGAGCATGGTTTCGTTATGTGGGTTTCTTAAGTTCATAATTTATCCCCAAATGGGAATTTGACAGATTAGGGTTTGAGTTGCGTTGCTCCCTAATCATGGTTTTGCAAAACCTATACAAACTCGTATACATGTTAGTATTTGCATTTTGCCTTCTTTGGCTCTACGTAGCATTCACTTTAGACTTACTGACAACTCAAATTGAATCTATTTTGATTACTACAGAAGTCAAATTGAAATATATTTTCCTTCTTATTATTTTCTTTTTCTTCTTTATATTGTATTTGTAGTCATTTGGAGTTCAGTGGTGTCCGTTTGGAAGCTTAGCACGACTTCCTTCATTTGAGTAAGCATGAATATTTTCTGCTTCAAATTTTCAGTGCTGAAATGTGGTGGTCCTTTGTCTCTTCTTCAACATCAATATCTGCCATCTTTTACTTTTTGCATGGCGATCTTTGTGATAATAACTTCAAGAGAGAGAGAGTGGTGGGAAGTTGGTACTTTCTTAGTTGATACTGATTTCAAATTGGAGAAGATTAATCTCTGCTTCTTATTTGTGATGGCCAATGACATTGGAATTCAAGCAATTAGAGGACCTCCTTTAACCTAACCAAAATTAAATAAACTCCTGCTTGAGTGAGTTTAAGCTGTCATAAACAATCTAAACCTGAAACTAATGTCATGCTGCCCAACTACTAAAATTTCTCGATGGTTTTCTTTCAGATGCAAATTCTTTCCATATAGGATGCACCAGGTTTATGCACCAGATTCATCTATGGACCGAAAGTATTTCATGAGCTTAAGTTTATGGAGTATAGAATCGTGGCATAAGTGCAGCCTATTGTTTTTTGGTTGGAAGTTACAAATTGTTATTATTCTAAGTTGAAAAAGCTGCTTAAGTATATCGTTCCATTTTATTCCTTTACTCTAAATCATTACAGTTTGTCTGCTAGTTCTTCTTGCCTTGTTCAAGTTCAATTATTTTCTTTCCTTTAACATTTCTTTTCCGCCCTAATCATTTTCAGGGTAGGAGAGTTTTCATCACCTCATGTAAGATTTTTCCTTCTTTTTTTATTTTTGAGTAATGCTTATGTGTTGGGTGGTTTTATATATGGAGGTTCTGGCCTATATACTAATTATAAGTTTTGCTGGAATGCAGATCATGAGTTGCTGGGACCACAAGCCATCTTTGCCGAACATTCAGCATCTGCAGCTCATCCATGTCCTTATGTAGCTTACTTCGGGCCAACTATTCATCCCTCATCCTCAAATTCCAGTGGAAGCGTTCCAGATAGTTCTAGTTTCACAGTCACTGGAATGGTCCATCAGTGCCTGGTGAGATGCCTGCGTCTTATGCTTTTCCTGCTATGGGTCTCCATTATAATAGTTGGGAGCATCATTCCCTTCCGTTCTCCACACCAAGCAGTCGAATTGGTAGTTCTGATCAACCTTCAAATCCGCCTATCAGTCAAAGGTCCACCAGGAGCAGCTCTGATGTGCCAAGACCAGGATCTTTTATGCATCCAGTTGTTGTTGGACACAGGTATTCGTCAATACAATGACATTCGTGATGTGATTTGAGTTTTTTTGTACTTTCTTTATGAAAAGTGAAAATATGTTGAACATTTTACCAGTTTGTTCTGCAACCATTTCCTAGAGAACATCTACAATCTCTTCCCTCAAAGAATTACTCATTCCCTAAAAGTGCCAATACGAGACGAGTTGACAAAAACATAAAGTTCGACTTTTATGAGCTGCATTTTTTTTATCACGGACTCATCACTCGGAAAAGAGAACATTTACTCACGGTCACATTTTCTTCATTATATAGATATAATCATATGGAAGGTGGTTTTTCTGCCAACTAGTTTAATTCAAGTGCTCTGTTTCCGCAGTTCTGGTGCAAGAACAGGGAATTCAGTTGTTACCTCATTGATCCCTCCTTACCCTGGTAGCAATGCTCGGGCCCGTGATAGAGTACAGGCTCTCCAGGCATACTATCAACCACAACTTCCTAGCACTTTGCCTGGCTTACGGACACCCATTATTTCCAGCTCCCGAAGATCAAGCAGTCATAGAAATCATGTTCAAGCTGGGTCAGCAGCTCATCATCTGACCAGGTGGGTGGCTTTTATTTCATTCCATCTGGCCGTAACTTTCAAGAGGCAGAAAATCCTCTACCAACTCGGTTCCATGGATGGGAAAGAGATCATTTTCACTAAACCAGGTAGACAGAGAAGCCAGTTGGGGCACATTCCATCAATCCGCTGCGGGTGCATTAGATCCTGGTGTAAGATACAGCAGCTTTCGACAGGCACGGATCTGAGAGGATGGAATGACAAGATCATTCATAACTTTATCTTTCCTCATTTACACCCTTGCTGGCTGAAGCAAAACTACCCCTACCATGAATGAAACTGAAAAGTTTGTGTATGCTTTGAGAGACAGATATATGGTGCTTGAAACTGTCGATCCTGGCAGGCTGAAAAACTTGGTACGAGGCTCCGGAATCAACAATTTCGGTAGCTAGATGGCTTCCTCTCCTTTGCTTCCTTTGGCTTTGAGGCATGTCCAATAAAACATTGGAAAAACAAATGTTGGATAGTATGATCGGATTAAGCTTTATCGCTTTGCAGTTGCAGTTGCGTGTGGTTGAATTGAATTAACCATAAAGGGACGGAGTAAAAATTAGATATAAACATTAATGAAATATTAAAATTTTCCACTGAAATATTAATTTTTTAAAAAAAGTACAATAACTTATTAGATATATAAACTTAAAATTCAGAAAATAATGTTTAATTTATCTAATATTTAAATTTATTTTGACTTAAATTATTATTGGATCAAAAAAATTAAAAACATTGAATTGTCATCTTTTAATTTTTATATTTTTTAATTTGAATATTTAGTTTTTCATGAAATAAAATACTATTATTATCATCTTTTAATTTTTATATTTTTTTAATTTGAATATTTAGTTTTTCATGAAATAAAATACTATTATTATCATCTTTTAATTTGAATATTTAGTTTTATGAATTAAAATACTATTAAATCATTTTTTAAATATTCATTTATATTTTTTTTTCATGAACTAAAATACTAATAAATCATTTTTAATTTGAATATTTATACTTTTCATGAACTAAAATATTATTAGATCAAAATTATCAAATATGAATATTTATATTTTCATTATCTAAAATACTATTAGATCAAAATTATCGAGACCCCTTTGGACTACAGGAGAGCTACCCCTTGCAACCATATCATTAGCTTGTAGGTTAACTTTTTCTTGAGTTGCATGGCCTCTATTTTACAATTAGATAGGGTTCGACCAACTTGGCCAAGTTCTACTTAAGGTGTTCATCCACAAAATGAAACCAAAATTATAGTGTTTTGAATTTTTAATTAATACTCGATGTTTGATCAAAACAAATCAAATTAAATATCTAGTTTATGAATCCCGATATCTTAAAAAATTAATTCGGGATCTTCCATCGATTCACTTTCCTCTACATAAAAACAAGATGAGCATCGAGAATACCCGATTAGGAAAGATGATTTCATATGAAAGAAAAATACTCGAGCATGCAACCATGAAGTCCAGGCCAACTAGTTGATGTTTTAATCCACAGCCAAGGTTTAAAAACTAAATGTGAATACAAATGCTAATCCTTTAGACAAGTAACCTGATATTCAAGCTAAGAAAATATTACAACCAGCTATAACGATGTAAGCTTGTGATCCTTGTGCTCAATCAGATTTCACCTATCAACCACAAAAGCAGGCATTTATCAGAATCATGCAAGGAGATGGCAATGGTAAGAATCTTTGGGGAATAGGGAAAGTGATTCAAGTAACTTACAGATGGTGAACGAGAACGAGATAAACTGCGACTCCGGCTCCGGCTCCTGCTCCTAGGGCTCCGGTTTGGTGGGGTTCTTCTCTCATTTTTACTGTGAGGCTGCACATTCAAGTAAATGCAAAACACTCGATAAAACCTCCCTCCCAAATTGAAATAACTACACCTGAATTAGCTTCAGCTTACCGATGGGATTGGTGACCTAGACCTAGTGCAAGATCTGCAATAAAAGTTCCAGAAGCAATTAATAAAATATCCACCGCAATTTCTACTTCGGTCCCAAGGCATCATCACATTCACCTTGGGTTAAGCTAACCATAAAAATGGATTACATTATAAGATCTTAACCAGAATCCAGCGCTACTAAAAACTCACTATTGGTTTTTAACGGAAGGTAACATGTAAATAAAGAAATAATAAAAATAGAGGATGAAATCAGTACTCAGTAGAGCAATGAAAATACATAAATACTTGAAACAATGAAGAACATCCTCCAATTCTCTACACCAAAGACATTCCTTTGCAACACTAGATGATGGAGTCCCAAGTTCGGCATATTCCCTGATTGTGGAGAATGGAGTAACAAAATTAAAAGCATTTATTTCATAGTGCTTTAGCTTTTAAATTGCAACACCCTTTCATTTATTCTGATCCAGTCGAGCCCTCTTTGAATTCCATAAATCACAATATAATTATAATTTTTAGGCCTTTCAACAGATTCCTTAGGTGCTCGGCAACAACAGAATTACCTCAACAAGAAATGAGTTGCAGGCATTTGAGCACCACACCCCATCAAGTTCCTAACATCCCATCCCCAGATGGCCGCAAATTGCCAGATCTAGCAAGGAAACAAGGCAGCCCTTATGAAAAAGGTATGAAAGCTGGTGAACCAAGTAAACTTTTTTTTCTTAATTACCCCGCCAGTTTGGATTTTGGTTTTAAACTTCAAACTGATAAAAGAGTTTTAAGGGTTCACAAAACAAAACACACTGTGGAAAGATGAAGAGCTTTTTAGTCTGGAATTTTATTAGATTAGAGAACATCAATAGTGCTTTGGTCTTGCATTCAACGTGACAAAGATAGATTAAAAAACCTCGGATCCTTATTTGAGACTAAATTGTAAAGCATATTTTAATAGTGAAAATGACATTGGTTGAATATAACACACAATCCCTATTCTGATACCACAAAACCCCACAAGCAATGGATAAAAATAGGTAGCTTAAAACTCTAAAAACAGCACATGCAATCTGAAAACTCCTAGATACTTAAAGGAGGCTCATACATGGAAAGGTATAAGCAATTCGCTGCCTACACAATATCCGAGGTTTGCAAACTTTTCTTTGTCAAAGCCAAAAGCCGACATTAATCGAACTATGAGCAGGTTTTAAAATGTTGACACCATGCACAAAGAGCTTGAAAAATGCACCTCAAGATTCTTAAGAACAGTTGCAGTATCAAACAATGAAGTATTCCGTTTAAATAAAAGTGGTCAAAGAAAAGATGTGAACCACTAAACATAAACAAATTCAGCGTGAAAGCAATTTTTGCATTTAGCAGAAGAAAAGGATAAAACCATTAAAAACAGTAATAAAAACATCAACAACATGCAAAGGAAGAAATAATAAATACACTTATGCAATACCTTGAAAAGGAGCGGGCTGGTGACACTGAACGGGAACGCGGTGAAACAGACCTAGATACAGGTGGAGACCGGCTCGAGTATCTTGCCCTCGGAGACTTGCTGTAAGATAGACCAAATAACGTAATTTGAATATGGAGTGAAACATAAATATCCTAACAGCTATTTTCACCAAACAATGAAGACTGACCTCCTGCTTCTGCTACCATAACTGTGGCTGCGACTAGGGCTTCGACTGTATGGACCACGACTTCTGGAGTAGCTGCGCCTAGAATCATACTTCTCCACCTGAATAGGACGTATACTTGATCAAGTAGTTTTGCACAAGCATGGATCAGGAATTAAATATGCATCATAACATACCCGTATGTAAGCCCGGCTAAATGCATTCCGAAACAAAGAGTCATCAAGCTTCCTTATCTGTTGGTCGAATAAAACTCATTAAAGCAGGTTAAAAGACTCAACAAAACACAACTCCACATAAACAAGCTAAAGCATAAATGTGACAAGGTTTAAAGCAAAGCAGCTTACAGCATATTTCATATCGTCATAGTTCGTGTAATCTACAATCCCAGTCATGTCTGCAAAGAAATTGCAATGTTACTTATATAACATCACATATAATTTCTTTAAGGTAAATGTCAATTAAATGCAATTTAGAAGGCAATCAAATGCAGGACCACACTTGCAATGCATCACGTAAAATAAATACATAGAATTTCATCTGTCAACCTAGGAAACAACTGGCTGGCTCAACAGTTTCTGATTCATTGGTCACATTACAATCAGAGATCTCCTCCCAGTCTGTATAGTATATAGACCCAGCATTCTCAAAACAAGCTATTCAGTGTTAAGTATCCTACAGGAATCTAAGCTATTTCAACTGAAACATATGGGATGATGCATTGATGCATGAAATAAGGATTCTTCTTACCTCCACGATCATGAAACACTTGAGAGAAACAAACATCCCCAGCTTTGCGCATGTGATCCTGGTCATAAATCAAAGACCATTTAACGCAAATAAATCATATCAAATGAGCAGCATACTAATATTCATTTTGAAAACCGTTAAGCAAGGACTATGTTACTCTTTCATATGGAGTATAATTGAAGAATTCTACTAAAATTTTATTGTTTCGTCATTTATGTACTGGTTATACAATTTGACTAAATGGAAACAACTAAAGAAGAAAGAACAGTTAAACAACTCACCTTTAGGTCTTGACATGAGGCAGACGAGGGTAAACCGGTCACCAGAACTGCATATTAAGCGATAATAAGATTAATTTAATAAGCAAGCAGTTTGGCAAACTTCAACAATGTTGTCAAAGGCTTACCACGATAGTCAGAGCATTTGGAAGGACGGCTACTGCTACCACTGTAACCGCTATGGCGATCCACAGAAGATGAGGTCGCCTTATGTCGGAATCGTCTTTCGGTTGGGCCCTGGAATTGGGCTTCGACTTGGATTAAATGCTTTAGAGTCGCCACCGACCATTTTAAAATAAATTTAGGCGGATCGGACACCATCTTACTTGATCTGCGTTGTACCAAAAACGTGTCGGGTTCGGGAGTCGGTTACGGTCAAGGAATGATTAGCACCCTTGAACCGCCCTTTCGGTACCAATTAATTTGCCGGTTGTCTTTATTTGCGAAAATTGAAATTTAAATTAAAATTTAAATTATTCGATCCGAATTACTTACCCTTTGATCGTTTGGAATTACGACTGAAACGAAATATGTTAGATAAAAAACAAAAAATACGAAAAAAAATGTTAATATGATAACAAATAATAAATAAAATAGAAAAAAGATATATAAAAATGATATTAAAAATGAAAAAGAATATTTAAAAAAATACAAAAAATAGATAAAAATAATAAATAAATAAATAAATAAATAAATAACGAAATAAAGTAAAAAATAATAATAACAAAATGTTAGTTTTAAAAAATATTTAAACATAAAATAAAAAAACTTAGGATCAAACTAGAACAAATTGGGCTTAATAGATTAGAAAATGAACTGTAAAAGAACAAATAAAAAGTTAGGGGGACAATTCATAGAATATAAAAAAATATAAACATGGACTAAATTGATTAAATTGGAAATTCGGAGGCAGCTTTACAGGTAGTGACCAAAATGAACTGCGACTCAAAGTATCAGGGACTGCGGAAGGAATTTAAGAATCTTATATTTGCAGGATGGTCCTTGGTATATAAATAACCTAAAACACCTTATTTCATTTCATTTTCACATTTTTCTCAAATGATTTCTCCCTCAGCCGAGAGAATGCTCTCAACTCTCCCAGAAAACGGCCAAAATTCGGCCACCACTCCGGTGGCCACCTACCGCGCCGGCCGTCGAAAAAACCCAAACCTCTCTAAAATAACCTCCTCTACCTCCTCAACACTAATCAGTAAACAAAATCCCACAGAATAACCCCAAAAAACATAGATCTACGTTTTTTAGTTTCGGTTTTTACCTCACCAACGATGACTCTTCGGCTCCCGGTGTATTTGTTCTCGTGCTTTGCTTATCTATTGTGGTGTACTGTGGTTTTTTGGTTTTTTCTATTGTTTTGGTTTGTGTTGGCTATGTTTTTGGATTGTTTGTGTTTCGGCTTCTGGCCGTTTGGTTTGTTGTTTATGTTCTCGTTGGCTCTCGGTTCGTTGTTATTGGCTCACTGTGATGGTTGTCTGTTTACTGTGTTCTCTCTGATGATGTGTTCTCGTTATATTGTTCGTACCCTCTGTTGCGATGGGTTTCTGTTGATCCCTCGGTGATTCTCTGTCTTGTGAGTTCTAGATGCTCGTTTCTATCTCCCCCGTGAGTACTGTCGTGGGTTCTATGTGTTCTTCCTCCTCAATGGTTGTGGCTTGGTGGGGGTATTTATAACCCATCGGTGGCTTGTTGGTTCCGATTACTATGGTGACACTCGTCGTTGACCGGGGATTTCGGGATGGGTCAGTCCCGATTTCCTCGGCCGGAAATCTCGCGCCGTTGTGATGTGCCTTGACTGGCTCTCGATCTCCCTGTTTCCTTTGCGGTGCCTGTTGAACATTTGGAAACCCTAACCCGAGATTAGGCTAGGTCAGGCCCAAACGTGACTGGACCCGTTGGACTCTCTTGGACTTGTACAAAAACGAAAAAATAAATAAATAAATAAATAAATAAATAATAAAACAAGTAAATAAAAAATAATAATACTATATAATATATATTTCAAAAAATTTTAAACTATATTATATTTTTAAAAAGATTTCAAAACTATACATTGTATAGTTTTCAAAATGTTTTAAAAATATATATAAGTTTTCAAAATATATTTTAAAACTATATTATATAATTTTTCAAAAAAAAATGTTTTTTAAAACTATATATTATATAATTTTTCAAAAATGTTATTAAAACTATATGTTATAAAATTTTTTCAAAAATATTTTTAAAACGATATATTATATAATTTCTCAAAAATGTTTTAAAAAACTATATATTATATAAGTTTTCAAAATTGCTTTAAAAACTATATAATATAAATGTTTTCAAAATGTTTTCAAAAATATATATATATATTTTCAAAATATTTTCAAAAATTTATAATATATAAATTTCAAAATCGTTTTCTGAAAATATATATTATATTTCGTCAAAAAACATTTTCACAAACTATATTATTATATATATATATATATAATAAATATATATATAAAAATAACTCCGGGAGAAAATGAGTGTCTACAGCTGCCCCTCTTTGTCCTTTTTCGTGGAACAAAAAGTAGGACAAAGATAAAAAGACACAAATTTTCGTCTGATGGAGTTGAAGAATAACTCCCTGTCGAATTGGGTAACGGATGGCTCCTCCGTTGCGAAGTCAAGTCTATCTTGAAATATATGTTATGAAACCGTAATTCGGAGTTTGAATCGAAATGTGGCTTCTCGCCTTGGTATTTTCTCGGTTTGAAGACCTTGGTTTGAAAATTCAACTGGAAAATATTTCTTTGACTCCACCATCTGGTTGACAAGCTCTCGAGCTGAATAAAATCGAACCCAAAAAATCTTCGTTGACAGATAGTTTTTCTTGACTTAAGCTACGCTGCCGGAAAATGGTTTATTGTCACTAAGGCACAGTTAATCCAGGTCTTCTTCTTGACTTGAAAACCTCGATTGCAGCCGGATAGTAGTGTGATTGAGGTGTCACCGAGCTGAATAGAATCTAACTCGACAATTTATTGACAGATAACCCTTCTTGCCTTGAGCTATGCTGCAAATGATGTTCCTTGGAGATGAGCGTAGTCGAACTCAAAGGTCTTTGGTGGCAGATAACCCTTCTAGCCTTGTGTTACGCTGCAAATGATGTGCCCTCGAAGCTGAGTGTAATCGAACTCGGGGGGCTTTGGCAGATAGCCCTTCTCGACTTAAGCTATTGCTGCAAATGATATGCCTTGGAGCTGAGCGTAGTCGAACTCGAAGGTCCTTGGTGATAGATAACCCTTCTAGCCTTGAGTTATGCTGTGAATGATATGCCCTCGAAGCTGAGTGTAATCAAACTCGGGGGTCTTTGGCAGATAACCCTTCTCGACTTAAGCTATGCTACAAATGATGTGTCTTGGAGCTGAGCATAGTCGAACTCGAAGGTCTATTGTTGGCAGATAACCCTTCTTGACTTAAGTTATGCTACAAATGATGTGCCCTCGAAGCTGAGTGTAATCGAACTTGGGGGTCTTTGGCAGATAGCCCTTCTCTACTTAAGTTATACTGCAAATGATGTGCCTCAGAGCTGAGCGTAGTCAAACTCAAAGGTCTTTGGTTGGCAGATAACCCTTCTCGATTTAAGTTATGTTACAAACGTTGTCTTAAAAAAATGGTTTCCCTTCACAGGTCTAAGCCGGTCATAGTTCTTCAGGTGGTTCCTCTGAGCGGGTCTAAACCAAGTAATATGATTTTTTGGATGACTCATCTTCACGGGAAAGTCCACTGATAAATTCTGTCTACCGGATATCTTCCGTCATGGAATTGAAATCTGGCTTGAAAGTGTTAACTGGAAACCTGCTACTCGTTGTTGAGCTTAGCAGAAATGAATTTCTTCAAAATAAATTCTCGAACTCATTTGAAGTTGATTGACAATCTTGCAATCTGTCGAGTTAGTTGAGGGGTAGCTTCTCGCTGCTGAGTTAAGCAACCACCATCGATCTTTAAATGTGCTTTTGAATCGAGTATCATTCGTCTTGAAGTTGAAACTTAACTCAAAAAGCTGTAAAAAAAATCATGTATGCTAAAAATGATGAATGTGATGCACCTAGGTATGTCTAAGATGCATGCAACATGAATGAATTATGTGTTATCTCCTGGATGTATTCTCATGCTTTGTCTGCCAATCTGGTCCTTGGAATCGATCGTGCCCCATTATTTTTTTGAGTTTTGGCTTTACGGACCTTTCATATATGAGACTGTTCTATTTGAAAATGTTTTTCTCCTTTTTCTTGTTTTAGGAGGGAAAATGATAAAAATGCTGTAAAATATTGTTCGCAATTGAATCAAATTATAAATGTGAGTTTAAAGAATATCAAAGGAATCAAAGAGCTCTTTTAATGCTTTCAGAGTTACAACTCTTTAACAAATGTTCAAATGGATGAGTTGGCTTTAGGTTGGCCTCCTTTCTAAAGTTTTGGTAACCCCAAAATGTCATTTTTTTAAAATATCGAAATATGCTTTGGCATTTCAATTGGGTGCGGACAAAATGACACAACTAGCATGATCAATTACTATATATTTTATTTCGGTCCTCTGAAATCTTCCATTTGTTCAAGCTTTGTAAACTCCTCTAACAAAGGCAGTGCAAAAAATATTGGTCTAAAAATGAAATTCTTGAGTGCTCGTGTGTAGTTGACTATAACAGGTGTTCCTTAACTCCCTTAGTCCATCATTACCGAAAATTTCTTGCTTAGATAAATTTGATTTAATTTATCGTTATCTAGCTAGTTGAATCCATAAAGCCAGGGCGTTTAACCAATTGCTTTAGAGGGACAACTTAACATTATAATCAGTTTTATCAAGTTCACTGAAGGGTTCATCTCATCACAAAGTCTTCGACCGGACAATAGCAGTGGAGCAAACACCGAATTGCCAAGTGTTCGAGCAATGTCACGGTTTGAACATAATCTACTCATAAGACCAGGGCTTTCAAGTTTCCTCTATAACCAATTGCCTTAGTGGAATAGCTCAGCTTTACGGATTTAATTTCTTAAGTTTGTCAAGAAGAACCTGTCATAGCCTAGGTGTTTTTTGAAAGTCAAGGAATCTCATCTTTAGAGTTCAATTTTCCAGCAACTGACCTAAACTAGATTCACT